TATTTATATTAACCATTTTCATAACTAAACTAATAAATTATGTTTTTGCATGATATATGGCCTACCACCATAGATAAGAAAATGAAATTAAAGAATGCAGGGACAATTTTCATTTTCACCCAACCAACGATTTTCTGATGTGGCTTATGTGTTTCTGGGGAAATATGTAGTAAATTAATTGATGTTCTATATAAACTTTCGTCGCAACTTGAAAACTAAGCATTTGCGACGGAAGTGATGTAGAACATCAATCAATTGATATCTGTTATTGAAATGATAAAGACTTAAAGACAGGACAAAGTGCTTTTAAAAAACCTACAAACGGAAGTCAGTTTGCATTTTAGGTTTTTCTTTACAGTATTTTTCCCAAAAATGCGTCTTTACTGGTCCATGCGTCTTTACTGGTCCATGCATCTTTACTGGTCAAGTAACCCTCAGGTCCTCCCTTAACATTTAGAGGCGAAAACAAAAAATTTATCCATACACATCAATGTCTATCAACAACACTTCAGTTAATTTGTCACAGTACAAGTCTAGATAACGGTAATTACTACAGAAAATTGGAGAGGAATCTCCCATACTCACCCATTAGCAGGGGAAAAACAGCTGTTCTGATGTAAACAAAGGCGTGTTGAGTGTTGCCATCTATGGTTAGGATTATTTATTTTTTTTTTGTTTATTTCATTATTTATGTTTTGATTAATTTTTAAAAAATCAATTTTACTCTCCAAACACTTGAACTTTTTAGGTAGGGACCCCTTTGCACTTGCACCATGTGCGCAGTCTTGGATGAGCCCCTTTAACCCCTTGGACCCCGTGGAGCCCCCAAATGCGCGGGCCTAGGGAAATGCCTAGTTTTCTTATGTGGTAATCCGGCCCTGGGTAAGGCTTGGGAGGAAGTGACTAAGAGGACCTTGAACTCTGTTTGGAAAAAACTGTGGCCAGAATGTAGACAAAAGAGATTTCGAAGGGTTTGAGGCTAACCCTGGGAATCCTATGCCAGTTTAGGAATCTATTGTGGCATTGGGTAGTCCCCTTGGGTTGGAGGTTAGTGGGGAGGATGTGGAAGAGTTGGTGGAGGGGGACAATGAAGAACTAACCACTGATGAGCTGCTAGATCATCTTCAACAGCAAGAGGCCACACCTGAGGAAACTGCTTCGGGGGAGGGAGAGAGAAATTGAAGAAGTTGCCTACTTCAAAGATATAGGAAATGTATGCAATGTGGCTTAAAGTGCAAACCTTTTTTGATGAAAATCACCTGACACAGCTATTGCAAGCCGTGTTGGCAACCTGTACACTGACAATGTTGTGGAACACTTTTGGAATGTCATAAAGGAACGGGAGGTACAGGCCTCTATGGACAGATAGCTGTGCGACAGAGGTCCAGTGATTCTCAAGCTGGTCCTAGTGGGATTAAAAGAAGAAGGGAAGTAACCCCGGAAAAGGACTTGCCACCTCAAGTCCTAATGGAAGGGGATTCCCCTTCTAAATGCTAACACCATCCACACCTCCCCTCCTCCCATCCCATCAATCATCACTAGATCTTCAAAAAAGGTAAGTGTCACATAACTGTGCATGTCTTCTTCAGTTTTTTGTGTATTTAAAAATTAATATTTCAGTGGTAAAAATTTTTTTTGTTCATACTTTGGGGTTTTCAGGAACGGATTAATTTGATTTCCATTATTTCTTATGGGGAAAATTAAATTTACCTAACATAATTTCGCCTAACCATGAGCTCTCAGGAAAGAATTAATACGTAAGGCGAGGGTCCAATGTATATTAAATTTCCAGCTTAAGAAATGCCAAGAAACTCACCCAAGCATAGCAAACATTTTAAGTTTTGAATTTTATTGTTGTTACTGTATATTTTTAATTCCACTTCAGTAATGGTATTGAAGCTTCACATGTTAATTAAAGAGTTTTCCTCCTTGGGTCTCCCTGCCTTATGGAAGATGGTTCTTGACTTTAAAAATAACAAATAAAATAATTTCTTTTGGAATATTCTTCACTAATTTAAAATGCAGAAATATATGAATCATTCCTCATGCCATATAAACCAGTTAGGTAATAAGGCTAATCACTTACTTAAAGGCAACAAGAATAATGAAACTTTTATTTAAAAAAAAAAGCAGCATTTTCCCAAACAATATTCACCACTCATTAACTTCCTCAACAGAAAATTTCACCAAAGAAAATTTTTTTTATAACAATCTTTTTATACACCAAGGAAACATAAAAATTTACAAGATGAAAATTTATCTAATTATTCTTTTTTGTGTGAATATAATATAAATAATAATATAATATTTTATTATATATGTATATTATAATATATATATATATATATATATATAATTTTATATAATATATATATATATATAATATAAATATATATAAATACATATATACACACACACACACACTCATATACATATATTATACACACACACACACTATATACATATGTTGTGCTGAATAGGTAATATTGGTAAATTAGTGGGAATTCATTTAAAATTAAGCCCTTTTCTAAAATTTTCTCGTATACATTTCAAGATATATTTTTTTTTTCATTTGTGTAAATGTAAAAATTAAAAATTTTTTGTACCAAGAGAACCTTAGAAAATTTAAACCTAACCTTATTATAACAAGTGCAAATTAATTAGCCTAAACCAACTAAGCATATTTTAGATAAGTTTAAAACAATTTAATAATAAAGAAACACAATGAAATATATATTTCTGTTAGGTTCAGAATGATTTTTTAAAAATTATTGCATACCCCAAATTTTAAAGGAGTTCTTGCTAATTGATCATTGTTTTGCCTATTCGGAAACAACATGTACATATGCGCAATACCATTACAAACAGCAATCTTAACAAGGCAGAACAAGCTACATGGGGATGGAAATCTTCAGCTCTAATCTTTCACACTCATGCATTGTCAGGAGCTATGCAATGTTACAAGACAGCAACAGATAAGGGGGAGAAAAGACAAGGCAGAAAGTAAACAGTGGCAGCTGATGTCACAAAGTAAACCACTCTGTGACATCAGCAACCAGAAAATTTACCCTTTTATCTTTGCTGTCTTCCAGCTTTGCATAGCTCCTGATGATGCAAGAGAGTGCAAAAGATCAGAGATCAAGATTTCCATCTCCCTGTGGCTTCTGTGTGTGTTGTGTGTGTGTGTGTGTGTGTGTGTGTGTGTGTGTGTATGTGTGTGTGTATGTGTGTGTGTGTATGTGTTGTGTGTGTGTGTATGTGTGTGTGTGTATATGTGTGTGTGTGTATGTGTGTGTGTGTTGTGTGTGTGTGTGTGTGTGTTGTGGTGTATGTGGTGTATGTGTGTGTATGTGTTGTGTGTATGTGTGTATGTGTGTGTGTGTGTGTGTGTGTGTGTGGTGTGGTGTTGTGTGTGTGTGTGGTGTGTGTGTGTGTGTGTGTGTATGTTGTGTGTGTGTGTGTATGTGTGTGTGTGTGTGTGTGTGTGTGTGTGTGTTTTGTGTGTGTGTTTTGTGTGTGTGTGGTGTGTTTTGTGTGTGTGTGTGGGGTGTGTGTGTGTGTATGTGTGTGTTGTGTATGTGTGTGTGTGTGTTTGTGTGTGTGTGTTTTATGTGTTGTGTGTGTATGTGTGTGTGTGTGTATGTGTGTGTATGTGTGTGTATGTGTGTGTAGTGTGTGTATGTGTGTGTGTGTATTGTGTGTGTGTTAGGTGTGTGTGTGTGTGTGTGTTGTGTGTATGTGTGTGCTGTTGTGGTGTGTGTGTGTGTGTGTGTTGTGTGTGGGGTGTGTGTGTATGGTGTGTTTTGTGTGGTGTGTGTGTTGTTGTGTTGTGTGTTGTGTGTGGTTTTTGTGTGTGTGGGGTGTGTGGTGTGTGTGGGGTGTGTTTTGTGTGGGTGTGTGTATGTGTTTTTGTTTTTGTGTGTGTATGTGTTGTGTTGTATTGTGTGTGTGTTTGTGTGTGTGTATGTGTTGGGGTGTGTGTGTGTGTGTGTGTATGTGTGGTGTATGTGTGTTTTTGTGTGTGTGTGTGTGATGTGTGTGTGGTTGTGTGGTGTGTGTGGGAAGTGTGTTGTGTGTGTGTGTTGTGTATGTGTGTGTTAATGTGTGTGTGTGTTGTGTGTTGTGTGTGTTGTGGTGTATGTGTTTTGTGTGTGTGTGTGTGTGTGTGTGTGTATTTTGTGGTGTGTGTTTTGTGTTGGGTTTTGTGTGTGTTGTGGGGTGTGTATTTTGGTGTGTGGTGTGTATGTTGTGTTATGTGTATGTGTGTGTATGTGTGGTGTGTGTATGTGTGTGTATGTGTGTGTATGTGTATGTTGTTGTGGTGTTATGTGTAGTGTGTGGTGTGTATGGTGTGTAGTGTGTGTGAGTGATGTAAGTTGTAGTGAGTGTTAGAGTATGTGATATAGTTGGTATGTATATCGTGATGGTGTTGAATTGATTATGTGTGTGGATAATGATATGTGTGTGAGTGTGTACGTGTGTATATGTAGTGATACAGTGTGTATGAGGTGAATGTATGTGATTATAGTGTGTTAGTATTAATGTGTGTATATTAAGTATGTTGTTGTATTAGTGTGTATTATGTATATTATTATTATGTTATGTGTGATGTAGTGTAGTGAGTTACATGTGCATTGTTTACTGTGTAAATAGTGTAGTCTGTTTAGTGTGTATGCGTGTGTGTGTGATGCATGTGTGCCATAGTGCATGTGTGCGTGTGAGTGCGTGTGGTGTGGTGTGTGTGTGATAGGTGTAGTGTGTGTAGAGTGTTTGTGTGTGAGTGTGTGTGTGAGTGGTGGTGTGTGTGTGTGGATGTGTGATGTGTAGTGGTGTGAGTGTGTGTGTAGTGTGCGCATTTGTTTACACACACACATGCATATGGATGTATCATGAGGCTTCATATATTATTTAAAATAAAAAAAAATTATGCATGACTCCTAAGAGAGCTCGAAACCTGAGCCAGAAGTTAAAGCATAAAGAAGCTTGTCCCTCAGTGTACGTCACTTTTATATTCAGGAAGCTTGAGAAGATTCATACATGTGGAGGCAGTAGGAAGGCGATCCTCAGATCCAGAAGGCTGGATACAAAAGGCTGGTTGTAACTCCTGTAAAAGTATAAAGGCAAAAATATATAAACAAATATGCTGTACAGAACTGTAAATATTATAAAATAAATTCACAAAATAACTTCTGTTAAAATCTATTAACCTTAATGTATAGTAGAGCCCCGCTTTACCACATTTCGCTAATATGGACATTTCATATGATGACCAAAACTTGTTATACAGCTCTTCCCCCCCCGACCTGACTCGCTAATATGGTCACTGCAGACCACTCTGTTCACTCTGTTACATCCTCTGGGAGCTCCACGTCTCTCCATATGTCTGGAAACTTTCCAAAATTTCAAATGTCCAAACTCTAATCTACGTTATCACTGCTAGCATTCCAAAAATTTCGAAAAAAAAAAATAAATAATGAGGGTAATTTCTGTGTATAAGACCAAAAAAAATATTTAGGGTCAGTACTTACCAAGCCACAAAGTTGGTGCTAGATGCTTACCTGATGGCAACAAGGAATCCTGCCTCTTGCAAAAATGTTCCCCACATACAGTGGAACCCTGTTTTTTCATCTTTAATCTGTTCCAGAAGGTCGGCCAAAACCGATTTGTACGAAAATTGAAGCAATAATTCTCATAAGAAATATAATATAAATCCAATTAATCCATTCCAGACACCCAAAATATAACAAAGAATACATTTTATAGAGAATAATTATAGTTTTATATACAGAAAATAATGAGAAATAAATATAAATAAATTCATATAGTCGGACTTGAGTCCTAGAAATGGGAAGTACAATGCCTGCACTTTAAAGGAGGGGTTTGGGATATTGGCAGTTTGGAGGGATATGTTGTGTATCTTTATACGTATATGCTTCTAAGCTGTTGTATTCTGAGCACCTCGCAAAAACAGTGATTATGTGTGAGTGTGGTGAAAGTGTTGAATGATGATGAAAGCATTTTCTTTTGGGGATTTTCTTTCTTTTTGGGTCACCCTGCCTCGGTGGGAGACGGCCAACTTGTTGAAAAAAAAAATAAATAAATAAAAATAAAAATGACTAATGAAATGGATAAATGAACATTTAACATCACTTTACCTTTTATTGAAGACTCTTGTTGGTGTATGGAAGGACAAAAGAGTTAGCCTATCCTTCATAGGCTTGTGTCCTGGCAATGCCTTTTCCTCCTGCATGATGTAAGTCCTCTTCGGCATTTTCTTCCAAAAGAGGCCTGTTTTGTCACAATTGAAGACTTGCTGGGGGAGGAATCCTTCAGCCTCTACGTACTCCTTGAATTCATCAATGAATTCTTTGGCGCCACATTTGTCCAAACTTGCAGCCTTGCCATGCCTTACCACACTGTGTATGCCACTTCGCTTCTTGAATCTGTCGAACCAGACTTTGCTAGCCTTAAATTCACTAACAGCAGCACTCATTCCAGGCATTTTCTTTATGAGATCCGCATGCAACTGCCTTGCCTTTTTGCAAATTACAGTGGACCCCCGCATAACGATTACCTCCGAATGCGACCAATTATGTAAGTGTATTTATGTAAGTGCGTTTGTACGTGTATGTTTGGGGGTCTGAAATGGACTAATCTACTTCACATATTTCTTATGGGAACAAATTCGTCAGACTGGCACCTGAACATACTTCTGGAGTGAAAAAATATCGTTAACTGGGGGTCCACTGTATTGCCTCCACAACACTATCTCCCACTAACTGTTTTTAGTTGATCCACACCAACAACAACTTCTCAACATCTTTGATTGTTTGCAATCTCTGTTTCGTTAGCACATTTACCCCTCTCGCAACATCAGCTTCCTTTCTTTCTTTTTTCTTTTACCAGGATGAAACTTATCGTTGATTTGGACTTCTCTCACATCCTGGCAAACTCAGCACACGTACACCACTTTTGTATTTTCCTAAAAGTTCTTTCTTGAATTCTATCGTGTTTCTCACCTTCTTTATCAAATGGCTGGCACTTGGAACTTTCTTTGGCCCCATGCTGGCTTATTTAGCAGTCGCAAGCACAAAAAACAATGGATTATTATGAAATGTTTTGGATGAATGCACGGAGTAATGCTCACTGGATGCATAACAAAAGCAGACTGAGTCACGAACGTATGAGTGGCTGCGTCTCGCAGGCAGGCGTGTTTGGTATGGACAATTTCCGAGTGAATGTATGAAAACGGGGAAAATTTCGCTGAAAAGTGGTTGAAAACTGAACTGTATGATAACCAGACTGGACAAAAACCAGGGTTCCACAGTACCTGTTTTTCATATTTTTTTTTAATTTACATTATTTTTATGTCCTGTGATTTTATAGCCAATCTTTGTTCTGACATTAATATTAGGAACAGAAATAGTAATCAAACAGTCAAAGGAACACTGATATGTGAATATGTTCATCTGCCTTGGTCCCATACTATTGTCGAGAAATACAGTAGGGCCCCACTTAATATGGCAGGTTAGGTTCCAGGCTACTGCCATAAAGCAGAAGTCACCATGAAGTGAAACGCCCATTTCTTCCACTTATAAAAGCATATAAATACTAGCTAACAAGTTTACACTAACATATATTAAGTTAGCAATAGAACTCATTACTTACCATAAAATATTTGTAGTCTTAACCTAGGGTGAGATGAGTAGTGTGGTATGTATGGCAGCCAGTCAGGCTACCACGTACCATACCATGCCACCCCACCAACACACAATATTCTATGATATTTAAAGCATTCCAGAGCGATAAAATGCATATACAGTTCACTCATTACTTACCTTAAAATATTGTAGTCTTAATGTAGGGTCAGAGTGAGTTGGGAAAGTGCTAGTTTCTAGTGACTTTTAAAAAGTAATGTAATAGCATGCAAAAGGACATGGGCTGCTCGCTTGTACAATAATGGTGGGACATGAAACAATTCCCTGAGTTATTTTTAAGTGACTTATGATTGCGGTGACTTCCATGGGCTCAGTTGGTACAAGATAGAAGGAATTTGGAAATTCCCATCTAGGTAGTCCCCGGCACGGGCATTGGTACGTGGATTTTACTGCGAGATTAGATCCTATGTTGAGAAGAAGTCGTTTATCTTGTTAGCTGTATCAGTGGATGCAGTGGTGTTTCATGAGGTTTAGTTAGAACAATATTCTTGATTTTTTTCAGTTTGTGGGTCCCCAGAATCTGGGAAAGTGTTTTCCAGGTCATTTTTATATCTCCTCTTGTGTCAGTGAATCTGCTGGAATAGCACAGTTGTTTGGCTTTCTTTATTAATTTGGTGAGAACTGTTGAATATTATTTAAGAATATCTTTGTGTATAAGCCCTGTCTATAATTGCTTTTCATATTGGTGTTTCTTATCAATGGATTTCAGAATGCTGCTGGTTAGCCATGGGCAACCAAGCCGTTTATTTCGTGATCTGTTTTGTTTTTTATAGGACAATATTTTGCTGTATAGTCTAAGTATTTTGTTAAGAAAAATGTCTGTCCAATCGTCAATACCATTGGCCTTGGAGAATTCTGTAGCCAGTCAACAGTAACTTGCCATGATTGTGACCAGATCTACCTGGAGTTCATTACCTTTGTAACTAGTTTCAGCTATCATAACTTTGGGGTCCAGTCACTGGACCCATTATGTACCTTTGTAATCTTTTGACTACCGCCCACAGGATGGGTATGGTGTGCATAATAAAGATATTAAACTAAACTGTGTGTGTCTGTGTGTGTGCATGTGTGTGTGTCTGTGTGTGTACACACCTATGTGTGTGTGTGTGTGTGTGTGTGTGTGTGTGTGTGTGTGTGTGTGTGTGTGTGTGAGAGGGGAGAGAGAGAGAGAGAGAGAGAGAGAGAGAGAGAGAGAGAGAGAGAGAGAAAAGAGAGGAGAGAGATGAGAGAGAGAGAGAGAGAGAGAGAGAGAGAAGAGAGAAGAGACAGAGAGAGAGACAGGAGAGAGAGACAGAGAGAGAGAGACAGAGAGAGACAGAGAGAGAGAGACAGAGAGAGAGAGACAGAGAGAGAGAGAGACAGAGAGAGACAGAGAGAGAGAGACAGAGAGGGGAGAGAGGACAGAGAGAGACAGAGAGAGACAGAGAGAGACAGAGAGAGACAGAGACAGAGAGAGAGAGAGACAGAGAGAGAGAGAGAGAGAGAGAGAGAGAGAGAGAGAGAGAGAGAGACAGAGAGAGAGAGAGACAGAGAGAGAGACAGAGAGAGAGACAGAGAGAGAGACAAAGAGAGAGACAGAGAGAGAGACAGAGAGAGAGACAGAGAGAGAGACAGAGAGAGAGACAGAGAGAGAGACAGAGAGAGAGACAGAGAGAGAGACAGAGAGAGAGACGAGAGACAGAGAGAGAGACAGAGAGACAGAGAAGACAGAGAGAGACAGAGAGAGACAGAGAGAGACAGAGACTGACAGAGAGAGACAGAGACTGACAGAGACTGACAGAGACTGACAGAGACAGAGAGAGACAGAGAGAGACAGAGAGAGACAGAGAGAGACAGAGAGAGACAGAGAGAGACAGAGACTGACAGTAGACTGACTGAGACTGACTGAGACTGACTGAGACTGACTGACTGACTGGAGACTGAGACTGACTGACTGACTGAGACTGAGACTGACTGACTGAGACTGAGACTGAGACTGACTGAGACTGAGACTGACTGAGACTGAGACTGACTGACTGAGACTGAGACTGACTGACTGAGACTGAGACTGATGAGACTGAGACTGACTGACTGAGACGAGACTGACTGACTGAGACTGAACTGACTGAGACTGACTGAACTGAGACTGGACTGACTGACTGACTGAGACTGAGACTGACTGACTGACTGAGACTGAGACTGACTGACTGAGACTGAGACTGACTGACTGAGACTGACTGACTGAGACTGACTGACTGAGACTGAGACTGACTGACTGACTGAGACTGAGACTGACTGACTGAGACTGAGACTGACTGACTGAGACTGAGACTGACTGACTGAGACTGAGACTGACTGACTGAGACTGAGACTGACTGACTGACAGACTGAGACTGACTGACTGACA